CTATATTGAACACAATTATTAAAAACTGTATTTAAAAACCATAATTAAATTATTTTAAAATTTTAATCATGACAATCAATTAAAATCTGAACTGCTAACTTAAAATATATTAGTTGTGATCAGTGTTGATGTTTTAGGCCAATGAGAGCGTCCACATAGGACATATATACTCAATCTGATTAGCCTATATCAGCGTTTTTCATTAAACATAAAAAAATAAAATATTATTAATAATCTAAATAAATTAAATCATATAAAAATATAAAATTATTACAATAGAATGAAAAATTAAGATAAATTGAGTTTTTTTTAACTAAATAAAATAAATTAATGTCAAAAGTCTAAATCTATTGTGAAAATAAAATACAAACTCATTGTCACAAAAACTAAACTAACAAAAACAAATATGTAAATCAATAATGAAAAATTTAAATTAAAAAATAATTTAGCATATATATTTTAAACGAGTAATTTATTTAGAAAAATATTAAGATTAAATTTTCATATAATTATATAAATTGTTATTTAAAAATATCAATACTACCAAAAAAACATTCATCTTAAATTATAAAAAAGGAAAGTCATCTAAAACTTATAATTTTTGGGGAAATATTTTTAAAAATTAACGCAAAAATCTTAACAAACCAAAAATGATATTTTATGCTAATTACTGAAGAAAACAATATAAAAAAATGTTTAACTAACAAAAACCAAAACATAAATTATTTCTTACAACATGTCAATAAAATTAAAATGAAAGTTTATATCGAGAAAGTTAAATTAACAAAAAAAAGATATTAACTTAATATCTATGTTATTTATTTTACAAAATTAATATAAATAGAATAAATAAGAGAATACAAAAACTTAAATAATACTAAAAAATTTAACTAACAAAAATAATATAAATATTTAAGCTAATTATTAAAGAAATCAATATTAAGAAATTAATTAACTAAAAACTAAAATGAAAATTAAGTTTTACAAAATATTATTAAAAACACTTACAAATATATTGACTTGATAACTAACTAACTACTTAAAAAATTAATATTAAAATATTTAACTAACAAAAAAAGTTATGTCTTCAAAATATCAATATTTCAAAGTGTTAAAATAAAATAAAAATCAATATCAAAAGAGGTAAATTATCAAAGAAAAAGTCGTATAAAGTAAAATTAGCTTGATATTTAGGCTAACTACCAAACAAATATTAACTAAAAAAAGCAACTGATGGTATAAGCTTTTGAGAGAAGTTCACTTAAAATTTAGAATAACCAGTTATAGCATGTCAAAATAGCATTTTAATTAATTTTAAAAGTAAATTTAACAAAGATAAAACACTTATGTAAAAGATATTAGATTAATATATATGCTACCTATTTGAAAAATCAATAACAAAAGAGATTAATTAAAAATATATATGTTTTAAGTATATTAAACCTGCAGAAAATTATATAATTAAAATAAAATATAAAATTACCATCGAAGATATTTAAAATAACAAAAAACAAGATCTAAGAAGAAAATTACTTTGAAATATAGTTCCAAAAACATTCATGATTTCTAAAATATTGGTGTTGACTATGAATAACCATATAAAGTTTTAATAGGTTATACAAGTTTCTAAATCAAAATATTATTTAAATTTACAAAAGATTAATACCTTGGTTGCGTCTGATTGAAAAATTAACAAAATAAAATACTACACAAATAATTTTACATTCAAAATATAATAAGAAATAAAGTCTGATTTGTATACATATTTACTGCTCATAACTCAGTCAACATGAACAACACATGAGCAACATCCTCTAAAATTTTATTTAAATAATATAATATGACAAAGTTATGAATCAAATTCAAATGAGAATATATGAAGATAAAATATTCAAATCAAAACATGAATAAACACACAAAAGATAAAAAAAACAGTGATAATGTGAAGTCTCAACATCATCTTACATGTTTTTTAAAAAATATTAGTAAATAGTTGATTGCAAATAAAACAGATCTTATAAACTGAATAGAGATATAACCTAAAATTCGTAGAAGATCTGGTGGAGAAGCAAAAAGCAGCTTTACACGATTAGTGTAGCTTACTAACGAAAGTAAATCTGAATCAATATATATCATATATTATATATGTATATGTATACAACATTAGTGAGATATTTAGTAAAGAAACTAAATATTTAAACATATAAACCTTTTAAAAAAAGAACCATAGAAACCCTAAGGATACAAAACAAAACACCAAAAATTTAGTAAGGAAACCATTTTCTAAATCAAACATATGCACATCGAAGTTGGATAATTCGTTATGTGTCATTACTATGATTTTACTTTATAAGATTAATAATTTTATAAACAAAAATAGGAAATACTACATATTATGTTTTAATTTTTTTATATAAAAGAAAATTTCAATAAATATATTATAGTTTTGATAATTTAAAAGATATTAGCCAAAAAATTAAACCAAATTATTAATACAGACTTGCGCATAGCGCGAGTTAAAAACTTAGTTTAATTCTAATACTTTCCTAAAATCCTGATTCCTATACAGTTAAGAAAGATTCAATACACGTAGTTTCAGGCCCAGTACAGAAGCGTCGAAGAAATAAAAAAAGTCCTAACACTGATAATTGAAACAATCATCTTAAAGTAAAATACCCAATACATAACGAGGCCAAAGCCCAAACTTTGAGGTAAACTATTCTACTTTAAATCGAGAAGAGGGAGCTAGCTCAAAAAGATATTTCAACCAAAATGGTTGTTGGTTTACAAGAAACATAGAACTCAAATTTGAAATGTAAAAGATCAAAACGCAGTTAACTGTAAATAGTATTAATGTTTTCATGTCATGAACTTTGATTTGTTAAAAAGAAAGATATATTAGAGATAATTAATTGGAAAACAAGATATGTGTTTCTTGAACACCGTTGGCTCTACAAAGTCCGATCACAAAGTAAAACCTGTGAAACCTAAACAGAAGAACATTTTTGTAAGGGTTCTATTGTGATAAATTAAATGATTTCGATATACATAGTAATTTCATATGGAGTAGAATAAGTCGAATTTTCATGTCAAAGTGAAATCGTTGGTCTAATGTAAATACATTTGCATCATTAATCTTTGATATCAAGAAGAGAGCTTCTCCAATGTTGTTTTCTCCCAACATAGTGTCAGAACTATAACGATCCTAACAGAATCGTAAAATGCTTACAAAATTCCGTAAGTTTCTTGTGATCTAGTCTACAAAGAAGATCATGAGAAACATCAATAAAAGTAAAGGTTCGTAGGGGTCGAGCACTGGTGGTGAAGAAGAGGACAAACAAGACGGTGGAAGCGATGACAACTAGAACAAGAAAGTTGGTTCTAAAAGTCGTCGGTGGTCTTATATTCTTAATTGGTTTACGTGTTGCTATTATAAAAGTTTTGATTTTCTTTTCATGTAATTGGCTTCTTCTCATGAAGGTTTTTATTTGTTTAATGCAAGAGTTAGTTGTAGTTGAAAGATTCATTTTCTATGAAATAATATGATTATACGGGTTTATGGTTTCTCACGATGATGGGTTATTAATTTATAATTTTATGAGATTTCCTCTTTAGGTTTGGAATTTCTATGATCTGATTTATGTGAGTTGTGATTTTTCATGTTACGAGAAAGTTTGATTAGAGTTAACTATTACGGGAACTGTATTTATTAGAGTTAGGAACGTTCATGTTTGAAATTATTTTTAATCTGATTTATGAACTGTCTAACACAAGAATAAGCCTAATTTTATTTGAGGGTAAGATTGCTTGTCTAGTGTAATTATCATTAACCTTTAATACCAAGAGTTTTCTCAGTATTGTTTTTCTTAACAAAAATCAGGCAAACACTAAAGTTATAAATGACACCAATTAAACAAATTGCGTGTTTTTCACAATTCAAAAATATTTGGAAATTAAATAAATAAATTTCGTTTATATCTATATTTCTTATAAATTATTTTAAATCTTACTTTATTTTTTTAGCATGAGGTTTTTAATAGTTTGATTACGATCGTTTGGGTAGTGTGAAAACACAATGTTTATAATATATTTAGTGAAAAACATTTAATATTTCATCAGTATTGATAAAAAAAAATGTATATACTTACGAAATTGCTATATACACTAAATATATACAAAAGATAGATTCATTTAAGATGGAAAGCCATTAACCATCACAATATATGATCATACTTTATCTTACTCTACGCAGACTATACTATACATTCTACACAATTATGTGAGGAGGTTGGACTGCCGCAATTTTATAAAATTAAAAACTCTAAAGTCAGAACTACAGTTTCAACATATATAAATGTACACAAACTTTAATAATAGTAATTACAGAGAGTTTGGCAGGCCTAGTAACGTGAATCATATCACAACTAATTAATTCATTTGTTTATTTGTGTTATTATTCTTCGCGTAAAGTTTTTAAAAATCACGTACGTAATCATGTACCACCAATTCTTATGTTATTATTTTCCGTGATGAAGTTCCAAAAATATGATTGTTTAAGAGGATCTCTACTATAGGCCCTTCATCAAAAAAAGAGGATCTCTACTATGAGGTTTTTAGATATCAAATTAATTAGCCTTTTTTGTCGTCAAGTGGTATTCAGGATCTAAGTAAAATTAGAAACATTTTCTTACAACGAACTTTGATGCTAGCTAGGTAATCAAATACAAACCGTCCGTAAACAATTTAACAAAGTGAGTGTAAAGTATCGAAACTTTTGTTTTTTCATTCCTCTCACTTTTCCACTATTATAAACTACCAGCTACATCCATAACCTGTCAGATTTATTTTGTAAATATGAATGAAATATAAGGAATCTCTAAATCATTGATTTTGATTGGTTTCTCGTAAAAAATTCATATTCGCTCAAATTTGCTTCTTTATACCGATTTGATAGTAATCTTAGTATTTGCTCCTTCTAGGAACGTGATTTCCTGTAAGAATAATACAAAACTAAACCCTTTATTAAAAAAAAAAGAATAATACAAAACTAGCTAGTTTCTTGTTGACATGACAAATGAGCTTTCACTTCTCAGTGTGCTACTCTTGACCAATCAATGTTAAAATACAAATAAAATTGACATCAGTTACATATACATAAAAATGACAGCCATTTTTATTGAGCTAACTACATTGCAATTCAACCCACAAAGTTATAACTGAACAAGATCCGAAAAAGTAAGTAAAAATTAAGGCGAATTTCTCAAAGAGTAGAGAGTAGTAACGAAAAAGATATTACAAAATCGAATCATACTTTTTTTTTTTTTTGTAATAATAAGTATAGAGAGAGTCTTATGATAATTTATTGATTACCGTTGAGAAACTTTAAAAAAATAAAAACGCCGTGCGTACAACGCCTCCCATGTGAGCGACAACAATATCCAATAAAATACCACCACGTGTCAAAAGATCTCGACTTGTGACCCCACTACGCTACTCCGGTGACGAAACACCACCGAACACTCCGGCAACTCGCCGAGATCGGCGAACAAAGACTCATCCTCCTCTCCTAAAGGAAAAAACACAGCCACGTCATCCGCCGTTGCCGAGATAGCTGTCTTTTTCTCCGATGAGAAAATCGGACTCTCGAGAATCGTCGAAGACGTTGTCTCCATCTCACTAAACCACGCAAACTCGTCGACGATACAAGACGGCGCCGTTTCGATCTCCCTCCCAAGAACCATAAACTTCTTGTTATCTTCCTCCTCCGGCTCCACCTCGGGTACTTCTTCTGGTTCGGGTTTGGGCTCGGGTTTGGGTTTGGGTCCGTTCCTAGAAGAAGAAGCGAGAGGCCAAGGATGGTTATGCTCAGAGGTATAAGTGATGAGGATCATCGTTGGATCGTCTCTGCTTCTCTCGACTTGCTTCCTCGCTGGACAACCTTTTGTGCTACTACAACGGTAATAACCTCTAGGGTAAGGAGATCCCTTAATGGGCTTCTGGCCGTACTTACGCCAGGCCCATGAATCTGACGGTGGAGTTGTGTCGCCTTTGTGCCGAGATCCTTCTATTTCTTTCATCGGTACGTTCACTATTCTCTTCTCTATGGATCTCCTGCTGTTATCAATTAACAAGCACATCAGTATATGCATGCGTATATATAACTTAGTTAATGCTAAGTTTTGTCATGATACTATTTTATAATTCAGATCAAATATGTGTTTATGTACGTACCTTCGTTTAGGTGAATGAGAAGAGATGACAGCGTTGAAGGTTGGAGAATTCGGTGATTCGGGTCCGGTTTCTTGACTGCTTTCGTGATCATTGTAGCTTCTCGCCATCTCTAGACCTCGCTTCATGTTTATGTTTTCTATAGACTATAGTTAAATATTTACAAGAAATTAAACGAGGAAAGAAGGATCGTCGATCGATGATATCGATCAAGAATCGGATATTTCGTTGATCTTGGTTGCTTCTGGAAAGATGTGAGTTGCAGAAGGAGGAAGATGAGTAGAAGTAGAGAGAGGGATATGAGAAAGAGAAAATGGAGAGAAGGTGGAGAAGAAGAGGGGTTGTGTATGAAAGAGGACGTGCGAGCATATGTCAATTTAATCTCTACTAGTTGTTAATTTAAACAATAATAATACTTTATATCCTTATCATTTAAGAGAGGGACCCCGATTGATTGTTATTTTATTAGATAATAATTTGTCTATAAGGCGATGGTTACATATGATCACACCCCTTTGTTTATGATATAATAATTTTTGTTTGCGTTGTTTGAAGATGGGGTTAGGTATTAATAGTATACACTTGTTTTATTTTTTGTCTTTATTCACAATTGTTCCAAGCCCTCTTTTTTTTTTAATTACATTGTATTTAAATGATTGAAACATTATTAGGTTTATTGGGTGGTGGAGTGCGTGTGAACAAGGAAGTGGTAATAGATATGATCAAACTTTACTATTCGTTAAGAAAGTTTATTTCTATCTTTTTCAAGAACTTTTCCATTCACAAAAAAGTTTATTAGTGTCTCATCTTTCTCCTTCTTTTTATTACAGCTTTGAGTATATCTCATCTATGCAACTCAGATTAGGTCTTTAATAAAGTAAACTCGGACTAAAAGATGTTTCACAAACGTAATTCAGTATTAATAATTAAATATGTAGCGGTGTCATCTCCTTCATCAATTTTTACCCATTCGTATTGGTTATATATCTTGATTTCTCAGCTATTAAATTCTAGACAAATTTTGTTACGATTCTCTTAATATGTTATTGTTTCAACAAAAGGGATATTATTGTTAAATATCACTTATCTCAGGCATGAGATACAAATCCACTTTTCTTTTTATGTTTAACTTTATGGATGTTTGGGCATATGCATATGTGGCATTGTACACAATGCAATCCCAAAGACTCAATAAGTATCACTCCAAAGTACAAATAATAGTATTTAAATTAAAATTCTTTTTTTTTGACAAAAAAAATTTTCATGACCTTTTCCTTCACCAAAAGCAACATCATCAGCGGATGAAACGCATATATAATATAGTTATCATGTTTTCGATTTAAGAATTAAAATATTTTTTTCTAATCATATAGATAATCTTATTTATGAGTGGTGATTATCATTTACGTACTGATCAAAGTTTACTCTTTTTTTTTGCGCTGATCTCAATTAGAGACAATAAGAGTAGAATATATGGATTGTAACATCCAATCAGGTAGTACGTAAAAGAAATATTTAATAAGGAAAAAAATGAAATATTTAATATGATTATCACGATTGTTCTTATTTGTCTCTTCTTCCTTCTTTTTTTTGTTATTGTTAATATTTGTCTCTTCTTTTGAGAATATTTGCTACAACATACCGATACTACAATTTCTAATAAATAAATAAAACTTATTTTCTTTGTTTAACCGGAGGATTCTGACCCAATATTTCTGTGGATCAGCCGAATATTTCTGTTATTTAGAAGATTTATAGTGATAAAAAATGACTGAATTAAAAAGACTCGAATTTTGGTATCAGTTTCTCAACTTTATGACAAAACTTCGAAACCATTAGACAACCATAATCGGTTTTATAAACAAAAAAAAGTTCGTAAGATTTTCTCAAGAAAACTTCCACATCCGGTCACACTTTTAAATGGCTTATTTCTCCATCAAATTGCAAGCTTCCAACATCACTCTCATCATCTGTCTCGCGCTGCAAGCTTCCGTCTAACGGCATATGGAAATAAGGAACGAATCGTTTCACTCACTAGAATTTAGACATGCATCTTCTTTTGTCACCGAATGATATTCTTAAAAAAGGTTTTTAGAAAATTGAATCGTACCTTACTATTTGGTTTTTTGTTTTCTAGAACATTCTCCATTTGTGGTACTGTTTTTTCAAATCTTCAAAGTTAAAATTTTCTTATTGTTTTTTCTTGCTGCGTAAACCAAAAGCAATTTTAAAAACATTGACCATCATTTTTAAACATTCAGAAGAAATTTACATACCTTAAAATTAAATGTAAGAACAACGTTCAAAATATTTAAGGGTGAACTTGCAACTAATACCTATTACACACAAAATATTCTAACCAAAAACTTAGGTTTATTTGTTTAGTGTTGATAAGTTTTTTATGGTTATTCAACCTCATTTCCCTATTTTAATAAAAGACATCTTTCAAACAATTTAATAAGTTTTTATAACAGGAACTTATTTATATATCAACTAGAAAAGTATGAATTGACAAATAAAAAATGTTTGCGTGTTGACTTGGCATTTTATTGCCGTTCAGTTTGAAAAACAAACACAACCCTATTGCCAATTTGCCATATAACTACAATTTTGCTAGGATATGTAAAATGTATTATTGGTTTTTTGTCTTCTTTAAAAACCATGAAATTTCGACCTTCGGCATATAGCTTTCCTCAATACATAGGATTCACCGTTAATAGTATACTCCATTTAAGACAATTTGCACAAAACAAACTTATATTATTTAAGACAGAGACGATATATTTTTTCTAAAAATATTTAAACTAGTGATTTTGACTGTTTATTCTCAATACAACAATGTAACCACCTACTTAATCAGGGGTATGTAGTCGATCAATAATTTAGAATGAGTCGAGAGTGTAAGAAATAGTGGAACCCATTCACAGATCTTTAGAAATTGATGATTTTTGTTGTAAAAGCTACATAACATATTTTACATAAAAAAGTTTTAGAACGTATTACATCCATATTTTAGGTAAATCATAATTTGATAAGTAATAAGTTTGAAAATATTATATGATCTTCTTTAGTACTATCTAATAAGTTTTGACAAGAAAATGTCTAATTTTATTAGTTTGGATTTTTTATGTGTTTAAGTTATTAATTTAGATTTTGGTTTGATTTATCTGATCTTTTGGATTATCTTAAAATGTACTGATGCGTGAAGCAATGTGGCTTACGATAGAATAAATTCTATTATGGCCACGATTTGGCAAACTATATATTTAAATACTATATTATTGGCTGACTGCATTTAAATTGTTATTGGTGGCTAATATCATGTAATAATTTGTATTAAAAATTAGGACTAATAATATGGCCTCTCTGACTTTTCCTAAAACCTCGGCGTGGTTCTTGTACAACATGCCATGATTTGATTTTAATATTTCTAGATATTTTGTTTTGTGTCAATTTTCTTGTATTTCTATATTTCTTTCCAACCGATATTTCTTCTGTATTAATATAATAGTTTTCACTGTGTCTTAGGGATCTCAACGTTTGATAGAGATAGAGTGGTGATAAGAAAAAAATATATGCTTTAGGCACGACAGTCAGTATTAAACAATCGCGAAATTATTTTCGTAGAAAAAATAATTCAAATGATCTTCTCCATCACCAGACCATCACCTTTCCAAGATCGGCAAACATATATTCACTCTCAAGTTATCGTCATACCTTCTACTGCAATACAAAACACTAGTTACAGCCGTCTAAAAGTATGTCCAATTCAGATCACACTATATATATATATCTTCCTGACCAAATTGGTTTCTCAAGAGCTAAATGCCTGCTACTAGTGTATAACGTTCTCCTATAACCGCAACATTCCTACGAACTCACATAAATCCTGTCTTACCATTAGGAGGATGTATTAAAACTGATTTAGAAAAGTTTTATGATAATATCATCTAACTAGGATTTCATCCTAATTTTTCTCACAACACAGGATTCCCATCAACATTTATTGGCTTGATGGGACTGATATATAGCTATATTCCAATATAGAAGGGTAATTTTGACTCTAAACTTTCAAAAATTTGTCGCAACTTTATCTTTTGCAGCGGTCCGGTCCGGTGGAGGAGGTGGTGACGGATCGGTGGCAGATCAACCAAAGTTGGTAGCTGATGAAGATCACAAGCACATAAATGTTAAATATGTAGACGGTAATTAAGTGTATAAGAAAATGATGTGTGCATGCCGTTTTAGGTCTCTTTTCGGTTTCATTTCCACTTTGTTTTTCTTTTCTTTCGCTTGTGTTTAGGCGTCTCTAGTTGGATTTTGTCTTTTGTCTCCTTGAAGATCTAGCAAGTTGAAGAAGAAAGTTTAGATCAACTTCAGGCCTCAAATCGACTGAGTGGTTCGGACAAAAAGACCGATCTAGCACCAAGTTATCCTAGAGCTCAGATTGGTGCCTTAGATCAGACAAAGGCCTAAACGACCCATAAGATACGCCAAATCCCTATATACCCAACTCGGTCGGTCAGATCGACCAAACCGTGACCTATCAATATAATGTTCACCCTGCTCAGCTCGGTCTGTGGATTTGTATATGCCAAAATTGATTCGACAAATGTAAACGAAAGAATCGAATGTGAGCGCCTCATGAAAACACAAACACAATCGACATATTGAAAGACTAATGTAAATAATTAAACGCTAATAAACATGTGAACGGTATACATGCAAACTGTAAACACAAATGTGAACGCTTTATGGGATTACAAATATAATCGCTAAATAAACACAAACGTAAAGCACAAATGCAAACTCAATATGAATCGCCGGACGGTTGATGTAAACACAAAAATATGATTACTATATGTAAAAACGTATTACTAAAATACAAAATATAAACGTGAAGCGAGTCATAGATGTTAGAGAACTACAGTACACTCAATTACATCTTTCAAAATCTAATGCAAGCACATCCAAATTAATTGTCAAAATATTAATATCTCAGTGAAAACATAAACCAACTAAACGCAAACAATGCGGTCGCGATTTTTTTTTTTTTTAATTATAATACTTTTACACGTTATATTTTTTTTTACTATTTTATTTCTTTATTTCTACTTATGAAATATATTATCAATCAGATATTGAATTTATTTAGTAAAAACTACCTTAATATATATATATATATATATATATTAATCATTTCAATATATATAAATCTAAACTTAGAATTTTCTATGGATGTAGTAGAACAAAACTGAATCTAATGTGAGTTATATATATATATACGAAGTCTCAATTCCAAACTAAAACTCAAAATCTTCTGAGCGCTTAAGTCCTTTTATTATCCTTATAAATGTTACAGCGGGCCACTTGACTTGACAAGAGCTTTAACCAGAGTTTGGGTAATATCATCGACACTCCACATCTTCTCTTTGCACTGAGGTGCAACATTGGCTTCCATGGCAAATATATCTCGGCAAGAAGCCCTTGCTTGTGTCACACTCAACCCCATTTCTTCAAATGCTTCAAGAATGTTCACAAGCTTATCGTCTCCCTTTAGACTATTTATCTTTACTTGAAACCTTTCTCCAATCTTCTCCACCTTTACCTCCTGCCAAAATTCATAAAAACTTATAATTATTTAGCAATATTTGGCGACTTAACCTTAGTCATCTCACAAATAGAGCGCCATGTGAGTACCTCAATAAGTCATCCTGATATTGGAAGCCTATAAAGAAAGCTAACTAACTCCAAAAGCAGGGATCAAATTTAGGATTCAGTTCCAGTTTGGTGGAAAACTTACAGAGTTGAAATGAAGAAAACAGATTCTAAATTGATTGTACAGAGATTTATCAATTTGTGACTATGTAATATATATAGAAGAGATGAGAGGAGAAACCTGAAACTGGTGTAAAGGTTCTGCTTTGATAATCTTGAAAACTTCATGTTCTCCCTGCAGAGCTTCTATCTTAAGTTTGAGCACGGCTATGTATAGAAGAGTCTCCCTAGTTACCATGCTCTGTTCATGGTTACTCTGCAAAATAGCTCACTGGCCTTAAATTTCTAAACTCATATACACACACACATATGAAAGGACATGAACATATATATATACATACAAGTTTAAAGCGAGTGAGATTTCTGAGAAATTGAAGCTTCGCTTGGCTTGCACTCTTCTTTTGTTCACTAGCCACCATCACTTTCTCAATGTTTCGAACTCTTTGAGATAGCGATTATTATTTTTTGAGCTTTGAAGAACATATCTCGGGATCTTTATATATATATACACATGTTTTCTTGTCGTGTAGTATGAAACATACATTTTGGTGATGAACTAGTAGCTTATTGAAACATCATAATTCATAAAACAAATAAGTTTAGAAATAGTATAAAATGTAATTAAATATTGCATGGTGGTTGAGGAGATATATTCTTATAAATACCTTAGATTTGACGTGTGAAATATTAGATATTTGGTTAGTTGTTCATTCAACAATTAACAATTGAGAAAGGTTGTCTCGAGATACAAACACAACGATTTCAAAATGCGCCGAGTAGAGATAATTTGAAACTAAAAGTTAAAAGTTTATATATCTTTTACACATACTACGTCCTCCACACTGTATTCAACCATATATATATCCTCTTATGTTCTCTAACAAAAAAGAAAAGAAAATCCTCGTATGTTTTTATAAAATCGTAGTAAAGAGATGATTTCATACTGAGTACGTTTGAAGAAATAATCGTCGTAAAGAGTTGGTAATATCAGCAAATTTATTTCAAATAAATAATTTGTAAATATCACAAATCACGGGAAATCAATAAATTTATATATGATAATATGAGCATAAATAAAAGAAAAATAGAGAGAGAGAGAGTTTCAGCTTACATCGATGAACGGGAAAGGAGAATAAAACAATGGCAAACTTCCAGATGTCAGAGACAGATACCTATGAATTAGCCATTAAAATCCTACCGACACATACATAGCAGCAGCGAATACAAATATGTTGCATAAAATATATATATATTACAAGAAGAATTGTTGAGGGAAGAGAGATAGGAGGAATCACGGGTTGTATCTTTACGTTTGTCTCACTTCGAAAGGTACGTAAGAAAGCAGACTAAGTGGTAAGCATGGGGCTGCTCTGCGACTGTCTCACATGTTTCGTTACTAGCTACCATTTTCTCTGTTTTATTCTCTATTCTTATCTTTCCAATTTGCCCAAAAAAAAAAAAAAAAAAAAAATCTTTCCTATTATCAGCAAACGTATTTTTTTTTTATGTGTGACATAGTAACGTACATATTATTATTATTATTATCTTGAATATGTAAATTATTATAGTTTTTTCGTATAAACTATTTACACAACAATGTAATTCAATTTTTTTTTTTTTTTGCACTCTTGAAGTTAAAGGCATACTCTTAGAATGGCAAACTCTTTAACAAAAAGGAAAGAATTATCTCTTAGTCTCTTAGTGTATTGTACTCTTAGAAATACAAATAGTATGTTGCATATTTTGGTTAAGCCTATCATAAGACACATAAAATCGGCGAATAGTATTTAGTTTTATTGGTAAAGTCGAATTTTAACCAAATGGTTAGTAGTTAACATAGCTTTTTTCTTATTTTTTAATAGTTAACATACCCTTATTCCACACAGCTATTTTAAATTCTATTTTTGTTCTTCTGATTTTTTGTTTGTCATTGCTTATATATATCTACTATCAAGAAACAAAATATAAAATAAAAGAAGTACGGTACTATGGACAAAAGTTCATGGAATTACCCTTATTAATTTTTCTCTCTATTTTACGATTTAAGAGTTCATGGAATTATCCAGAAACATAATGGAGAAGGGTGTTCGTAATAGAGGAGGGTGTAAATGTTTCCCCAACAGTAATTAGTACAAGAGGGGAATCTTAAAAAGCGCATGCAATTGGTCTATATGATGCATGCCTCTTGTTATCGAAATGAAACCCTTATTAACGTATAGAGTAAAAGATGAGAATCTTAATAGGTGGTACGTTAGTTAGGGTTCAAGTTCTGCCAGTTAAAGAGGATTAATTCTGGTTTGTTTTGAAACAGGCCTTATGATTATTCTGGTTTTGCTCCAAGAGACTTGATAATACTGAAAAAAACATTGCTTATGGATGGATAAATGGGTGAAATTAAACTGAGTAAGAAAAGAAAAAGACAAAAAAAAAAAATTACTATCCTAAAAGACGGAATGTATACGACGAAGATCTATCACGAGACGTTTGGTGTTAAAACTGTTAATAATGTATAAAGGAAATGGGGACAAATAGATAGAGAGATATGAAAGGCGTTGTTATGTGTAAAGAAAAAGCTGAAGAGATGACCAATAGACTAAATCCAGTTTTTGGATAGAAAACTACAAAAAAACATGGAGAAGTTAACATTAATATGGCAGTCTTGTCTGAACCCATCACTTGCAATTTGTCTAGTATCTGTTATTTTTTTATTTTTTTTGGGTCGAAGTATCTGTTATTTGTTTTGTACTCAGTTCAAAGTTCATATAATATGAAATTGTTTAATTTTGTTTAATATATGTCTATGAGTATATCACATATGTATATTACCCAGATGTACACTAATCTTGGTAATCTATATAAGTAGAATCTGATTGTTCATGTTTGAGTTTGCATTTCTATTTTGTGAGATGAAATTCTTATAATATGGTGATCAGGAGATGCAAACACAAACAAACAAGTGAAACAACCGATGCTTTACTTGACTCAGAAATACACATGTTAAGCAAATAGACGAATACTCAAAATATAATTATTTTAGTTTGATGATTTTTAAATAAGTATTAATCTGTTTAATCAATTTTATTATTATAACTTGTAAAAAACATTATCATTACTAGGTATTTACTCGTGCTACGCTGCATGATATTTTTCTAGATTTTGTATATATTTTTAATATAATAAAATTATTTTTATAATGTAAATGAGTATTATATTTATTTTTTATTAGCTTAAGTTATGTATTTATATATTTTAAATCTGAGTAAACATTATATATCCTTAATTATTTTATTTTTCTAAATTATAATCTACCATCAAATTTGTTTAGCTAACTATCTATAAATGTATATGTAGGAATAAAAAAATACATTTTTAAGTACTTTTATGCTAATGACAAATGTAAGTTATCTTCTTACTAAATTGTCACTTGATCCTCTTTTGAAATTATATAAAGCAAATTTCCATTTAAAAAATTATTAATTAAAATGATTATTTTAAATTATAAAATTTACCTAATTATCAAATATTTATTACAAACATATGTTTCTAAAACTACCAAACTATAATCAATAACATTCATATCAAAATCATTGCTATTACTTTAGAACTAAATAGAAAATTATGTTTGAACTGTTGAAATAACAATTTAGTTGAAGTTAAATAATTTAATTTTGGTTACTATAAACATATTGTAATTTGAAAATTTAGCACAAATAAATTTTATCTTTTTAAAAAAACCGAGAAATTGTATTTTTCACAAAACAAAAAAAAAAATCATTTTCTCACAAAACTAAGAAATCGCCTATTCCTGCAAAACCAAAAAAAAATCATTTTCTCGTCAAACCTAAATTTTCATTTTCCTACCAAAACAAAGAAATTGCATTTTCCTGGAAAAACAAAAAAATCACATTTTCCTGCGAGAACCTGTATTTTTCCGCCAAAACAGAGAAATCAAATTTTTTTCACCAAAACCAAAAAAATTCATCTTCCTGCAAAAACCAACAATATCGTATTTTCCCATCAAAACCGAAAAAAATATTTTTCCACAAAAACCAAAAAATCGTCTATTTCCGCCAAAAAAAAAAGTATTTTTCTCGTCAAACCAAGAATCTCGCCTTCATACCAAAATCGATAAACCAAAATTTCCTACGAAAACCAAAAAAATGCATTATCTCTTGAGTAATTGTGTTTCCCGCGAAAACTAATAAATCACATTTTCCCGCGAAAACCAAAAAATCACTTTATATGTAAAAAACTGAAAATTTGCATTCCCCATCAAAACCGAGAAATTGTTTATTCCTGCCAAAATTGAGAAATTTTGTTTTTCCATCAAACCAAGAAATTGCATTTTCCGCCAAGATTGTTAAACTACAATTTCCCACGAAAACTAAGAAATCACAATTTCTCGCGAAAATCAAGAAATCACATTATCCATTTAAAGCCAAAAATTTGCATTTTTTATCAAAACCGAGAGATCGTATTTTTCGTCAAAATTGAAAAATTGCATATTCCTCGCATTTTCTTGCCAAAATTAAGATATGTTGTTTTCGCGTCAAAATCAAACTTTTTTTCCCACCAAAACCAAAAATTTATATTTTTCCGCCAAACCCGAAAATTCACTTTTTCGGCCATAACCGATATATTATGTTTTCCTACTAAAACTGAAAATCACATTTTCCTACCGAAACCAAAAAATTCTCTATTCCCGCCAAACCCAAGAAAATTTGTTCTCGGTAACTACCGGAAATGCGAATCTCCAAGCTGTGGTGGTATGAGCTTCTCCTCATTTGCTTTCGACTTCTATTTTTTTGTAAACTTTGAGCTTTTTAATGGGTGAGCAAAATATTAAACCAATTTTATTAGTGTGTTAATGATATGTATTATTGTTATGTTTTTATTGGTTCAATTTTTTGCTGATGTGTGAGCTTCTTATAACATAACGCTTTTTGCGTTGTTGTTATGGAAGCATAGTTAATGATGAGTCTACACTTTTTTCAATCATATACGTCTCTATTAAGTAAACACATAGTTAGAAATTTTAATTTTTTTTGCTGTTATTTATTATTTGGCAAAAAATAAAACAAAGATTTAATTTTTTAATTTGTTGTTTTTTATTATTTGGACTTGGTGATGGTAAAAAATATAACATTTTTTTATTTGCTGTTATTTATTTTGGGCTTGGGTTTGGCAAAAATAAAACAATGATTAACGAAAAAGATATTTAGATTTTTAATAGGTTTAAGTTAAAAATAATAAAAGTTAGTAGATGATGTGTATTAATAAAATGTTTTGATTGGTGTTGATTTAATTAGGTTTATAGATGAGTTTGTATATTTTATCTTTTGAGCTTTTATAAATGAAATGGATGATAAATGAAATAGGTGATGTGTATTGATGTTTTAATTTGATTAGTGAATTTTTTTGCTGAACATCTTCAGAAAGCTCCAAAATGCTGATATGTCTACACCAGGAGAGATATTTGTATTTTTGTTGTATTAATTAATATTTTTATTTAATTTTATTTTAAATAATACATACTATAATTTATACAACAAAAGTTTCCAATCATCTATTTTAACAAAACATTAACTCAAATTTCTATACCAAACTTACCATATAAATCTACTGTTTTTACCACATGAATTTACTGCAATATATATCAAATTATAACATTAAGTGTAACTCAATTCAAATTACCACATAAATCTACTGTTTTTACTACATAACTCAGTTTTTTCCCCTTTTTCAGTTTACACATACCTTACTTGGGAATAAAAGAGCACTCGTCGCCCATGAACACCGTCCAATCACAGCAAAAAAAACTTTTTGTAGATCCACAGATTTTTTCGGGGGTGATTATATATAATATATTAGTGCAAAAGAATTACCGGGCAAATCTCCTTTGGCAGAAAGCTTATAACAAACAAATGCATAGTGAAGTTATACATATGCAAGAGTTAAGTAATGAGACTCCTGCCAATAGAGATCTTGCCCTGTAATTGTATTTGCACCTTCTCTTTCGTCAATTGGATCCTTCTCTCTATGGATATCTATAAATGTTACTCTGCAACATACATTTTCTCTTGAAGAATTAGTGTGTTTATATAATAGTGCAAATAAGCATATTCAATGGTACGATGCTTCTTCGTTGTAAAACAGATTTATGGTTTGATTCCCAAAATGATCCATTAAATGTATAATCGCAATGGAATAAGTACCTTTTTGTTTTCCAGATATCCAAATTGATTGCTTTTCTTTTATTATATTGCAAAGTATTCGAATTCTAAGTCATTCTTGAAAATACATCCAATGTAAATTATCATCGGGTAATTTAAACCGTAAATGTTTTACATATATAGCGTTATAGTAGGTTTCAGATTTTGTATAAGCTCTAAC